CACACACACACACACACACACACACCATATACAGAAATAAATGAATTACCTCCTAAACCAAAGCTGGACAGAAAGTGCCATCTCCCTACCCCCAGGTGAAAGAAAAAGGAATAATCTTCCATAACACACATACTATAGTGAGAAAGACAAGAACCACCTTTTCCTTAGTGCTGGGGAGAAAAGGAGACATCTCCCCTATTCCAGATGAGGGAGGCAATTTACCCTCCTCCCACCCCAGCAGGCACGGAAAGGGCTATGTCCTCTACTTTAGGGTAGGGGAAACCGGATCCAACCAGATCCTTTCCACTTGTTTTGGAAGGGAGTACGGGTGCATTTCCGGTGCCTGCACTCTGCATGGCTTATCTGACAGCATATGTTTCATTCTCCTACTCACTGATCTGAGATGAAACCCGGGGTTAGGCTGAAGAACCGCCCGCAGGAGCCTCAAGTGGAATAGCTAAGACTGCCCCAACCCTCCTGTGCTGGCTCACTGGCGTGCATCCTATGCAGCACAAAGAAGGTCATTTCTTCCAGACCTTTCTTCCTCTTCTTTTTCCTAGTTTTATCATGGGTCACAACTGCCTCAGCCTCCATGAAGCCGCCATCACGTTGCATTCCCTAAGTCTTGTGTGACCCCTGAGCTTTTGTTTTCACCTCTCATTCTCTGTGCTGTATTGCAGCAGGACTTGGCAGATAACGGTTCACAGTCTGGTCTCCCTGGGTGATATGTAACCTTGAGCAAATTGCCCCTTAGAGCCTCTTCAGCTGACAAAAGAGGACAAATAACACTTCTCAAAGTTGTTACATGGATTAAATGAGGTCATGTATGTAAAGCGCTTGGTATGCAGTAAGCATGCCCAGTAGTGGTGGCTGAATGGAGTCAATATTGGCAGACAGACTGTGCTTCTTCCATCCCAGCCGGCACTCAATTTGGGGCCTGGAGATGCACACTCCAACTCGGAGCCAGAGCTCCAGTGGTGTCAACTGTACTACCACAGTGGTCTTCCTATCTACGGTGCCCCAGGCACAGTGGTAAGAGCTGGGAACACAGGTAGAACTGGAAGTGGTCCTACCTGTGGGAACATCACAATCTATGTGAACTGGGGGACTAACAGGGGAAGGAGGTCATGGAAACAATGACCCACAATGGGACCTATAATACAGTTAGGCGAGGGGGTGATCATTTTACCTGTGAGGATTAGGAGATTTCTCAAAAGAGATGGCATTTGAGAGGGGTCTTGAGGCAACTGTAGGAGCTTACCAGCGGAGAAAGGGAGGGTTCTTAAGCAGAGAAGACAAGTAGGCAACTAAGGACTCCTCCACATGGAGTTAAATGCTTCATAACCTGTGCCTGGCTTTGCCATAGCCCCCAAAGGAAGGACAAGAAAATGTTCTGGTGACTCACTGATTCCATCACTACACTATAAACTTTTCAAGGATAGGTCAATAACCAAGCATAGTGTGTGACACATAGTAAGGCCTCAGTTGCTTGAGAGTTGACTTGGACTTCTACCCAATTGAGTTCTTACGTCTGTTGGAGAAAAAAGCTGTTAAGTCAAAAACTTAGCATAAATTAATTTAATATATTGTCATTTCTAGGAGTATTGTGAAGAGGATCAGAGAAATTTTATACAAAGACATGAATCTCTAATGGTGGAATTTCAGACACCGCAACACTTCAATTTTTTGAATACTTGTTAAGTGCTGTTGAGTCAGTTCTGACTCATAGCAATCCTCAAGGCTCAGCGGGTGGGTTTTGAACCATCAAACTTGTGGTTAGCAGTCCAGTGCTTATCCTATAATGACATACCAGGATAATGTATGTATAACAGAAAAGAATCAAGTAATCAAGAATGCCTAATAGGTGCTAGGCATTAAGCTAGGCACTGAAGGGTATCAGAGACAGCTCATAAAAAAAAAAAAAAAAAAAAAAATTAACACACAGCCAGAACAGGAAGTGAAGCAGCCAGTGCGTGTTAAAGGGGCCAGAGGAAGATGAAGTCTCTGAAGTAGGAGATTTCACAGGGGAAGTAGGGATTGCACACTGTTGTCGAGTCAAGTCTGATTTATAGCCATTCTGTGAATTAATGGGCTGGACTGCAAAAGTCAGTTTGAAATGCAAGGTTGGCAGTTCAAGCTATCAGCTGCTCCTAGGAAACCCTATACAGGGTCCCTATGGGTTGGAACCAACGCGGAGGCACTTAACAACAACCACAGTAAGAGAGAGTAGAGCTGCTCAATGGGGTTTCCCAGACTGTAGATCTTTACAGGGGCAAACGGCCTCATCTTTCTCCTGCAGAGCAGCTGGTGGGTTTCAACTGCCAACCTTGCAGTTAGCAGCCCAGCATTTAACCCACTGTACCACCAAGGATCCTTGGAGATAGGGATGAACTTTGGATAGGCTGGAAGGAATGGAAAAGGCAACCAAGGCAGGGAGAATAACAAGAGAAAGTCAGGGAGGCCGGACTGTGTAAGTTATAAGAATATGCAAATCTACTCCTTAAAGAAAAAGACCTTGCTAGTGTTGTTTATCCCTCTATCCAGGTGTGTAGTACGCATGCAAACATTTATAGGGGAGACTCTGAGAGGTTGTACTAATGCATATGTATGCATTTATGAAAGACTTGTGTCTATCTAGCTTAGATTCCCGCCCCCCAAGCAATTCAACACAAGGGATTGTGTCTTCCGCATCTCTCTGAGTAATCCACAAAGTCTGATATAACATTGAACACACTGTAAGTATCCCAGTGTTGGGAACTGGAGTAGGATATTCCCAGAGAACTGCTTTGCTTTAGATCCTTAATTGAAACCGTGGAGGCCTGCAAGACCATTAAGAATGTTTATCAAATATTCCATTACATTATTCAGTTATTCTCTGACAAGGTTTAAAAAACAATATTACTCTTGTGGGAGAACAGACTATACTGTATGTAATAATCAGGCATGGGTTGTCACAAATCAGTGGGATATGATCAGAAGTCCTTCATTAGTTGATACAACTGTAAATCTCATCTACAAAACCAATATCCTCCATGGTCCAGTGAGTCCTCACCAACAAGTGGCCTCGATGCAAAAATGCTTTATTATAAATGGACTTGGGTCTTAATCATTTGCAATGAAAATCTTTTCCTTTGAATCTAGATTCCAAATGCAATAAGAATAATATAGCACTAATGGTGTGGTGCTGTAGGATCAACACTGGACTGCAAACCACAAAGTCAGCAGTTCAAACCCACCAGGTGTTCCTTGAGTCAGAACCAACTTGATGGCACTTAACAAAAACAACAATTGGTTACTAGATCCCTGGTGGCACTGTGGGTTCGGTGTTGGGCTGCTACCCATCAATTCCTTTGCTGAAGAAAAATGAAGCTGTCTGCCCCTGTAAAGATGAACAGTCTCAGAAACCCTAAAATAGGGTTGAGATGAATCGGAATTCACCACTCGTCTGTCGGTTTGTTGTACTGTGGTGGCTTGTATGTTGCTGTGATTCTGGAATCTATGCCACCATATTTTAAATGCCAGCAGGGCCAACCACAGTGGACAGGTTTCAGATGCACTTCCAGACAAAGACAGACTAGGAGGAAGAAGAAAGAGACTACTTGTGAATTTTTAGTCACTGAAAAGTTTATGAAAAGTAGTAGAACACTGTTAGCACCAGAATATTGATTATTGAAACATGATGAAAAGCACCAGAATATTTTCAGATATAGTGCCAGAAGATGAGCCCCTAAGGTTGGAAGACACTCAAAATACAACTGGGGAAGATCTGCCTCCTCAAAGTAGACTTGACAGTGATGATATAAATGGAGTAAAGCCTTTGGGGAATTCATTTGCTGATGGGCACAACTCAAAATGAATAGAAACACCTGTAAACAGCCATTAATAATCAAAATATGGAACGTGCAAAGTACAAATCTAGGAAAATTAGAAATTGTCTGAAATGAAATGGAACACATAAACATCAATATCCTAGGCATTAGTGAGCTGAAATGGACAGGTATTGGCCATTTTGAATCTGATAATCACACGGTTTACTATGCTGGAAATAATAAAATGAAGAGGAGTGATGTCACATTCATCATCAAAAAGGATATATCAAGATCTGTACTGAAGCACAACACTATTTGTGATAGGAAAATAGCCATAGCCTCAGGCTCAACAATTCAAAACTACCAGCTGCTCTGCAGGAGAAAGATGAGGCTTTCTGCTCCTGTAAAGATTTACAGCCTCGGAAACCCTGTACAGGGTCGCTACGAGTCGGAACC